GCGGGAAAGCGAGTAGAGGTGGGGGAAGGGGTGAGGGTGTCACGTAGTGATTGATGGTAGTCTAGCGACACCCCCTCGGGGATGAAAGCAAAGGGGTAAACGTGTTTGGAAAAGTCCCGCATACAGCACTTACACGGATCAGTCACAGGATTACCGTGTACAAGGGACATGCATCACTTGCTTTCACTCTGTCTGATCAACCCTGCAGTCATCGTTACGTTTTTTATTCAGTGTGTCCTCACGTTCCACTAATTTTTCTTACGAGACCGAATGCGCGCCATAGTGCGCTGTAATTATGAAAATCATGATTGAAAATTTGAAAATTCAAGGAGTTCTGAATTCAAATTAACCGCCTCGGATGACTGAACCAATGAGCAGTAAGCGTGACAGGCTTTCGAGATATCGATAGTTATCGATGTTTATCCTTTTTATAATAGGATTTATAATATGATAATTATAAAAATCATTATGATTGAAAATTTCAAAATTCAATGAGTTCTGAATTCAAATTAACCGCCTCAGATGACTGGACCAATGAGCACCAAGCGTGAGAGGCTTTCGAGATATCGATAGTTATCGATGTTCATCCTTTTTATAATAGGCTCTATAATAGGAATCAAGATTTTACCATTGTCCAATTGTTGAAAAAAAAAAACGTTTTTTCAAATAAAAAATATGGAGATATATAATAATAATTTGAAAAAAAAAAATGGCGAAAATTTTGAAAAGTATAGCCTACATTAAAAGGATATTCAAGGCAGGACAGAGTGAATGCCGAAGAAATTGGATATTGATCCGTTAAATATTTGACAAGTCCGGCGAAGTTGGTGAGTCTCTGGGGCATAACTATTTCTCAAACATGCCGACCCCAGCCATAACTACATCGAAACCTCCAATTACCATAAAACACTCGTTTTTCCATAAAGAAAATTAACCATCCAAAGATTAAACCTCTGGGATACCCACACACCCTGACACTGAGTGAAAAACCATTTGAAATTTGGCGGACGTTCATGGCACCCTCGAGAAACCCTCAGAATGTGTTATTTTTCCGTGCTCTCGAATACGTCACATGAATAAGAAAATATACTTCAAAGTTTCGAAAACCCTCTGAATCGTGTCTCCCTGTTAGTCCCGTAGGGTTGCATATGGGAAAATAAAAGTGGAAGTGGAACGAGCATCAGGGGCTCGCTCAACCGTTCTCGATCGATACCAATTCCATTGGCTGACATTCGAATATGAAATTTCTCTTATTTTCTCTCCTCTCCTGAAGAACGAAAAATTTTAATTATCCAAACCAAATTAATCATTCTCCAGAGGATTGACGAGGTACAGGCGAGTTTCGTTTCGGCTCATAAAGCACCCACCATTCACTCACGTTTGTTGGTACGTCACAGATAACCGGATAATGCTTTTTTCCAATTCTTTATCTTTATCTTTATCTCATTATCAATCAATGGATTTTGTAGAAATTTAATTGATTAATTGAGAAATTGTTTCTCAATTTTTTTTCTCTTTCAATTTTTTATCATCGTAGATTGTCAGTTGCTAACTCAATTATAATATGCCATATAATAATGTTAGTAATTAATTCATTAATCATTATTTTTCGAGATAAATATATCTCGCTTGTTGAATACTCGATATATTTATCAAGAAGTTTTATCGGTTTTATTTAAATTGACACGCAAATTGAAATATTTACTGACCCATTAGTTAATTAATTTTTCTTGTTGTTAAAAGTGGAGAACAATTACCGATTGTTAAATAGTCCTATATTTTAGTGGATTTAAAATGTTAATATAATTTAGTGCTCCTCCGGATTTGATAATTAATGCAAAAAATTAATGCAGAGAGAATTTTTTAAAAATTCCCAGGACAACAAACAAATTCCTGATGATGGCAGAGATAATTTGATATTAACAAATTCTCCAATATTTTCCAGTGGCAGTTTTTCTTCTCTTTTGACAGATACTCGAAAATCGGGTGACAGTTGAGGATCCCTGTTGGCGTGTAATATGAAGATAAGATGTTTCCCTGGTCCCCTCATCTGCTGCCGCATGTGTCGTGACCCTCGATGAGGGATTATGTTGGCATCTAGGCTGTGCCACGAATTCCCTGTCGATTCTAGTCGATTCTGTGTGTGAAAAGCCCGTATTCGAATGACCCATAGCACTAAAGCACCCACCCCCCAGTCTTTGACTATCAACTTGATTTTTTTTTTTATCATCCAGCAGGTTCTTTATCCATCGGCCCCAATCATCGGCAATACTGTCACTGCTGGGGTGGAGAACGACAGGGATCTCTCATCTCATCATTTTGCTTATGATTTTTTAACGGCAAATGTTTATCCTTTTTATAATAGGATTTATAATAGGATAATTATAAAAATCGTCATGATTGAAAATTTGAAAATTCAATGAGTTCTGAATTCAAATTAACCGCCTCACACGACTGAACCAATGAGCAATAAGCGTGAGAGTCTTTCGATATATCGATAGTTATCGATGTTTATTTTTTTTATAATAGGATAATTATAAAAATCGTCATGATTGAAAATTTGAAAATTCAATGAGTTCTGAATTCAAATTAACCGCCTCACACGACTGAACCAATGAGCAATAAGCGTGAGAGGCTTTCGATATATCGATAGCTATCGATGTTTATTTTTTTTATAATAGGATTCATAATAGAAATTAGGATTTTGGCATTGTACAATTTTAAACGGCAAGGCAAACGCTTTCATGGACATACGGCCTTATGGCCTTATGGCGTTGTGATCTGTACATCTCGAACTCAATGATATTTATAAGGGGTAATTGTTTTTTTAGTCATCCACAAGGAGTTGACAGTTTATTTTAGACTGACGTCCCGTTTCCTGAGTGCTCTGAAGATTGAAAAAATACAGTGTAAATTTTATTCGCTTGTGCATGCTGGTTTTATCCAATGTTGGATTGTAGGTATGATTTATGAGTGTGAGAGCATCGGTGTTTACCATAAAAACGATAAATCGTCGGTCAATCCCCGGGGATTTTCGATCCCCTCTCAATTTTTTTCCTGAAAACTGGAGATATTTTTTGCTCATTGACGGGTGAGAGGGAAAATTTATTTTTTCCATGGATACTGTGAGTCATTGGTTTAATTCAGAATGAATCATGTTCTCATGGTGATTTTTTACTGATCCTTCCTGATTTTTGAGATATTCAAATTTTATAAAAATTAAAAATAATCAATTTTTTTTTTCAAATTCGAAAAGAGAAAATTTCCAAAGATAAGAGAAATTTAAATTATATTTCTTTTAAAAATTGATGTTGATACAATGTTGGCTCAATGTTGGTTCAATGTCGGCTCAATGCTGGTTCAATGTTGGTTCAATGTCGGCACACGGTTGGCGCAATGCATAACCACCCATGATTTTTTCTTTCATTGTGTAAAATTGACAAATTCCTTCTCGTAGTGTCCAGCTAATGCATGTTCCGTCGCCTAGGGTGAACTTGATTCATTCCTCGTGTCCAACCCCTCCCTCTTTCTCTCTCTGACGTACAGCAGCCCTTACTTCAGGTCCGTCACGCATTTCACAACAAGTTTGGGTGGATGAAAAAAAAAGTGACGGGCAAAAGAAAAATAGTATCCGTCAGTGAACTTTACATGAGTGTCATAATCCATAGGGGCGCACTCAATTTGAAGATCGTCCACCGGCTGAAAAGTTCGTGGAGGGTTGATTCACGCCCCCTCCCATCAATGGCGCTTCATAATACTGGCCTATGGTTCACAGTTGATTTCACTTGCGGCTTTTTTTAGTACTGGGTTCAGCTTCATCCCTCAACCACAATTTTATATTCTAATGAACCATGTTGAGTGGCTTAACTAAAGAAAATTAATACTCACCCTTAAAATTTTTTGATAAGTCCCTACAATAATTATTAACAGAGATGTTCATCTTCATTAAAAAAATGAATTAAAAAAGGCATTACCAGAATAACTGTCATCCACTTGCTATTTCGTATGGAATAAATTCAGCAAGTAGAGACTCCATGGGGAGAGCTCGTCCATCTTCTCACTTGTCACCATTCAATTGCCCTCATTTGTTTAGAAAAACAGTCCCCAGGTACTCATCAATAATCTCTTAAGGATAACCGAAGGATCCCAGCTGATGGTCTCACCGAAAAATTTATCAATCAAAAATTCAATGTTTATTTAGGAAAAATCCATGGAAAAAGAGTGTTCATGTTAACTGAGTTAATAAGCCCATATATATTTATTCAACGGGTGGTAGATCCAAGCGGGGGGTGAGTTTTATCGACAGAAGGGGCAGGAGAAGCGGACGAAGTAGCTTAGCATTTCGGAAAAACTGGGATACTTTTGTAGAAATGGGGATGGATATATTCTTAGTGCGAGAGCCCATAAAGTCACCCTAGCCGCTCGACCGTCTCTTCCACCCCAATCGTATCCGATATTCCTATATTTTTCTATGCGTTTACATCCTTGCCTCGGCCTAGGTACACCCATGTATAGTGGCTTCGAGAAAATTATTGCTGTCTTTATACATTCGTTCGGGTCCCGATGGGGGCAAGTCGAATAATTCGCTACTCTGAATTTGTGAGATGAGGGGAAAGACCTGAGGGTAAAAAAAATTCAGCGTTACTGGGAAGAGATACGTTTCATTCTCACCCACATGATTTTTTTTTTAAACAAAAAATGCTGGTACTCTAGTAATCTGAATAAAAAATTGATTGGTATGTCATTGATTTAGTTGAAAAAATTGGAAAACAACAGGTAACAATTATAATTACAATTAATCCTCTGAAAAAAATCTGCAAAATTTTTCTTAACAAAAATTTTGCTCTGGAACTATAGGAAAGCACGAAAAAAAAATTTTTAATACAAAATATAAATAATTAAAAATTAAAACAAATAAAAATTAACAAAAAATTTTGAAAAATATGTATGAATAATAGAAAAATCATAGAAAAATAAAAATAAATAAAAAGCACAAGAAATATGAAAATAATGCGATCTTTAATGAATTATTTAATCTGTTAATGATAAATCTAAAAATAGAAATCAATTATCCTTCGATTTTTTGGGTTCCAAATAATGATAATCTATGAATCTCGCTCCTTGCGTTAATTGTGCTCCCATATTCGTGAAGTGACACGAAAACAACAACATATTCCTCGGTTGAACTTTGAAAGCGAATCTCATGAAAACTAGTGAATACAAAGTCAGTGCTGAAACGAAAACATAAATAAAACGATAAATATCAATAAATAATTGATGCAACAATTTCAATAAACGGGTGACCAACCTAGAGTCATTTTTCCACTAATGATACTCGGACTTTTTTGTGTATCGGCAATAGCAGCCAGTGGTATCATCCAATTCATTACTGGTCCCCAAAAGTGAGTGCTGTAATAATTTTATTTTTAATTAAATAAACATATGGATTAAATTGTTAATGAGAGTAAAGTGCAAAGTACCTCATGAGCCAGTCCCGCGTTTCCTTGCTTGATAGAAATTTTTTCATCTTGCCCGCCATGACGAAACTTAATCAATTAATTAGCAGTCAATGAAAAAATATTGTTTATCAATAAAATGATTAATATCGCAGGATCAAAGGAGGTTAATTGGTTCCAATGAACTCACTTGATGTTTTATCAGTTTTTTTTAAAGGAAAAAATAAAGATGTGACTTCGTTATTAATTCAATTTCCTAAATATCTCAATTTCGTTTATTCCTCTGTAATCAACTTTTTAGGGTCATGTGTAGATAGCAAAGAAGTTTACTTCGTTATCAACATCTGGCAGTCCCACAAAACGCCGATCTTCACTCGTTTCCAACGTAAATACTACCTTCAATTCCCTTGCAGCTGTTACACAGACATTTCACGATAAAACAACCACGAGAAAACATTATTCATTCAAGACAAATCTAATTAACTATTGACGACTATGAGAGACCGTTTGTCCTGGTGTGGAATATTGTACAAATTTTAACGTCTCAATAAATTTAGGATTAGAGCACTAGACTTTATCTTGGATCAGTTTTTAATTTGAGTTTTCACTGGTCAAAGAGTCAGAGAGAACTGAAGCTGGGAGTATAAAGATTGATTGAGTAAATCACCATGATTGCGAAATTTTCTCGTCACAACAAAGTAATGATTATTTAAAGATAACAATATGTGGGGGTGTAATTTCCGAGATATCGGGGCTTTCGTCATTTCGTTAAACCTCATTATCCCAATTAGAAGTTAATTATTCCACGAATAACGATTTGCCATTGAGAATGAATTTTTTCACCAGATCAATCATCGTACGTCAGCTATTTGCATGAGCATTTTTTTGGATCATTGATCAATCCCCTCGGTATAATTTTTTATCGTCTGAATTTCACCGAAAGATAGTGACCCCTGCTTATGGTGATAATAAATGCACAGGTTATTATTTGGCGCGTATAATATTGATGGGGCTATGAATGTTGCATGTGGGAGGGTGGCTACGCGGCATTTCTCGGCTCCTCGAGTTTGCCTTTGTAGAGAGGGTTGGCTGGAGTGTGTAGCTATTGAAGATGGTGGGCAAAGCTAGGGCTATGACTGGGAGAAGAGCGAGCATGCGCTTGAGTTGTTCAATATTATTGATCTGGACAAAAAAAAAAAAGGGCGAAAGTAGAAGGGGTCCAGCGTCGTGTTGAGCTTTTCATGCACCCTTGGACTCATGGTCCCATGGTTTATCAACGCTGTGTACACCAGGAGAAAAAAAAAAATAGATGGATGAATTCTCGTAAACTCCTCTCTCACTTAATAAATTTATCCAATGCACCCTAACTGATTTCGAGATATCTTCAATATTTTTTCTATCTATCATCTCGACTGCACGTTGAGAAGAAATATCATTACAGCTCCCCTTGGCCCTCGAAGTCTCACTTTCTTCAACATTCATACGTATTCCATCCAGGATCTAATGCGAAAAGTTAGACCACTCCTTTGAAGTCGACTGCTGACACCCGGGCTGGGCTGGGCTTTTTCATCGTTGATCTGAATGCGTCCTCCGTACGTACCTTCATCTTATCCTCTCTTCTTCCATCGAGAGCTATCACCATGCGTGCGAACACGAGTGAGTTTCCAATAAAAAATACAACAATCGGATAACTCATTTCATCAGGTTAAAGTGGACACCCTCGAGTGTGAAGGAAACTCTCCCCCTCGGGTGTTCCTGCTGAATATAACCGATGAATAGAATCATTTGCATCGAGGGCAAGCCATTTCCTCAACCATTCGACCATTTCCCCATTTATTCCATGCATTTCCATTCTCTGCATTGCAAATGACAAATTATTCTTTCCTGGAAATAAGGAGAGAATGGCCAGTAATGAAAATGCAAATTACCTGGTGAGTCTTTCTCCGTTGGGCATTATTTATTCACTCGTTCGGATGAAAAGTAATTGTTCCATGGTCCTTGATGTAAGCCGCTGCCATTTCGGTGTAGAGATTCCTGGTGCAGATCAACGAGTCACGAATTGCGCACGTCATTCACCGCGACTTTGGTGCACATCTCCTTCTCCTTCTCACTCTTGCTGTTGTTATTGTTTCGGTTTCTTTTTCCGACGTACCGAGTAGAAGAGGTTGGTGTAAAGAGACGGAAAGAGCCCGGGAATTCTCGCATCGCAGAGTCTTTAATTGCCGTTTCTTCCGACTTGCCATCGACGCGCCTTCCTTTTATTACTTTATTCTTTCTTTTTTTTACCTTGATTTTTTATTCTCCCTTCTCTTTTAGCATTTTTAGTATCTCGGGGTGATTCATTGGTCCTCGCACTTTCGGGACATTCTCTGGGAGTTTTCATTTTTATTTATGGGAATTGTTGATGGAGTGAAAAATAAATGTATGTCGCAGGGAGAAGAACTGATGCATTTGGTGGTTTAGGTTCCACTTTCCTGCTGCGTTCTCCTGCTGTGAAATCGGGGTTAATGCAGGGTATATACCTCAGGTACATACTCAATGTCCAACTACTTTTCTACGAATCCCTTTAAAAGTATACCACTTTTTTAACGCTTATTTTACATATTTTACATCGCTTCGAGTCGGATGAGACTATGTGAGGATTGATCAGGACTTTTTAAAGCTAGTTAGATCTCACCATTCTATCCAGCCAGGAATCGAACCCGGAACCTATTCGTTGTGAGGCAATGACCTTAACCACTACGCCAGGCCACCGAGCACTAAAAAAAAATATTCGAGTGCAACATGAGTCAACGTTTTTCTTTTTTCGTTGATAATTTCATAATCTGAAATTGCGAGTTTGATTCCTCGTTCAGTCGAATGGTTGAGTAGACACGGGGAACTCGATAGTTTTTCCTGTGGTTTCCCATGTTCTATAAGAGAGTGAATAAGGTACAGCAAAACATGCAAGATGTCAACGATAAAATGGCAGTAAAATCCCAGTAAATATAAATAATTTTTTTATATATTAATTTTATAATACGCTATGAACTCGCGAGACTCCACAGGGCACATGGTTCATTAATTAATTACCCAAGAGCCATTGTTTTTTTATCCTAGTTTTTCAAGGTTGTACATAATGTAAATATTTATTGTTAAATAAAAAAAAAATGGTTAAAAAAAGAGGGCCAATTAACCAGAAAGAGGGCAGAAAGGGCTGGAATATAAGAAATAATAATAATAATTTGGCATTTGGAAAAGTACAAGTTCTTAGTTGTTAGCTGGAGGGATATACTTGGTAAGAAAAACCATGTGTGGTAGTGGGGTTGTACAGAGGGGGTGTATGGGGGAGAGAGGGGAGTAGTCTGGAGAATTTCAAAACGCGGCGTCGCACGACCATAAATATGGAGTCGATTCGGAGAGGACGAGCCCGAGGTGGGACGAATAATATCACTCGTATTTTCCTTTGCTTTACTGAATTATTATACGATTCATGTTTCGAATTGACTCACAAAATACAAAGCGGAAGAAGGAGAAATGTTATTGTGGAACAGGAAGAGAGAGGGGGAGGAGAATCGTCATGTTACCACGAGTTGCAATAAGAAAGTCGAGAGAAGAGTATAATGTCGTGCACCTAAAGAAATCTTTAAATGTCTATTTTCATCGCATTCGATGATTAATTCAATTATAAAATTTATCAAGCGCTGAAAGGTCCAGAGAGTGCAATCCACTTTTTAATAAATTTAATGATAATTATTTTTTAAGGTGTCATTACGATGATGATTAAAATGCGCGTCACGTTGCAGCTCTTGAAAAATAGGAAGAATTTGAAAATTCTCAGTGCTCGTAACGTATGAACCACTTACCTGAAAAGAAACGGATGTAACTCGACACGAAGTTGGTGACAAAAGTAGGTAATGAACCCCAGAACAAGAGGCCGGCTATCTCCTTTCATATAAATTGTTCTACTAGTGTATCGAGCCCCTGAAATGAAACAAAAATACTTGAACGCATTCCTAGCAAAATCAGATCACGAAAATTGGAGATGAAATGGAAGTTTCATATGTGTGAATGTTCTCTCGTTTTTTTGTCCATCTCTTTTCCCTTCTCCTTCTTTTTTTTTCCCTCTCATTGGGTGAGATGATATGATGGCGCGTTCTCGGAAATGGTTGAGCGATCATAGTCGATGGGAAAGAAGTACATACGAGATGGTGTGGCGTCTCCTCTCCTCATTCTGATCGGATTCCCAATGTTGAGGCCAAACGCTTGAAACCTAGAACGAAGGGGAAGGGATCCAATAAAAATGCTCGGCATTCCCAGAGTCTAACGGCTCATCCGTTTGTCCTTTACTCCTCTCTGGCCCTCACTGGACCTCTCGGTTATCGGACCTTTACCTCGGAGTTTGACTTTCCTTCCACCCTGATTCGTTCATACTACCCTCCAACCATCTCCATTCCACCTATTAGACTGATGCTCTCTCTCTTCGTTTCATGTCCAGACCTCCCCACCCTCCCTCACTGGACCTCTCGGTTATCGGACCTTTACCTCGGAGTTTGACTTTCCTTCCACCCTGATTCGTTCATACCACCCTCCAACCATCTCCATT